CGGCGGTGGCGCGCTCCCCGCTCGGCCCCGCCCCGCCGGCCCCGCCCGCCAGTGGCTGTTGGTCTGTGGTTCCCGCGCTCCGAGTTAAAGGGCTGAGCCGGAAGGTCGCGCGTCGCCCTCACCTCCCGCCACTGTCATTGCGGGCCCTGAGGTCTTTCTGTTGCACAAATTCCTGGTAGACTCCCAACAATGACGAGCTGCTTCAGCTCGTATGCGCGTGTTTTACTCTGTGACTTAATCTTGGCAGCGCCCCGGATCTGATTCCCTCCGCACTGAGGATGGGCAGAGACCCAGCTATCGCCAACCTAGGCCTCGGTTTTCCCATCTGTGTAAAATGGTACACCCCCTCCCCCCAACCAAAAGGGTCTCTCACGTCCTGGTGTGCTGCTCGCGGTGGGGAGGTGACACGAACGCAGGCGCCTCTCCATTCTCACCGTGGACTCACCCCCTCAAAGTCGCCTTTAAAACCGCATCTCCCCTACCCCTGGCGGTTTCAGGTACGCTAGAGGCTCTCCTGAACTAACAGAACCAGCACCACCTCTCCCGACCCGGCCCCACCTGTCCTGAGCTGGCCATCAACCTGATGTCAGCAGGAGTCGCGGAGCCAATCCAACCTGTGTGAGTCGGTATTCGCCATGTGGTGAATACAGCAACTGGAAGCCAGACCCATCAGCCCACTCATGGCCTTCTTGGGACTTCAGAGAAGACACAGCTGAGGATGGGCAAAATGGAATGTACACGCACATTCACTAGAATGTGAAAGAAGGACTGACTTGTTCTTTGCTGTATTCCCAGGGCCTAACCTGCCTCATGGGAGCTCTGGTAGCATAGTGGCTAAGACACCTTGCCTGCTAACCAGACAGCTGGCGGTTCAAACCCACCAGCCACTCCTCGGAAGGAAGGTTGGGCAATCCTACTTCCGTAGTGATAGTGCCTCAGAAACCCAAGGAGGGGTCGCTATGAGTCGGGTTTGACTCGACAGCACATAACAACAACAACAACAACAACCTGCCTCATAAAAAGCCCCAGTGGTGCAGTGGTTAAACGTTTGGCTGATGTTAGGTCAGCAGTTCCAGTCCATCAGCTGCAAGGGAGAAGAATGTGGCAGTATCCTTCCGTTAAAATTTGTTATGTGCCCTCGAGTGGTGCCCAACTCATAGCGACCCCTCCTTGGGTTTCCGAGGTGGTATCACTATGGAAGTAGATTGCCCAGATTTATAGCCTTGGATCCCTATGGGACTGTTCTATAGGGTCCTTGCAAGTCAGAATCCACTCCATGGCAGTGGTAACCTGCCTCAGAGTACGCTCAATAAATAATTATGGAATGGATATCCAGTAATTAAGGAGCTCTGGTGGCATAGTGCCTAAGGCATTTGACTGCTAAGCAGAAGGCTAGGGGTTCAAACCCACCAGCCACTCCTGGCAAGGAAGACTGGGCAATCTGCTTCCGTAGAAATACTGCCTCAGAAACCCAAGGAGGGGTGGTATGAGTGGAATCGACTCCACGGCAGTGAGTTTGGTTTGGTTTTTTATACTAAAAGTAGCCACTTAAAAAAGACAAAGAAACTCTATATACAGATAAAGAACGATCACCTAGATATATTTGAGAGGGGCGGGGAGGGAGCAAAACACGAACAGTACGAGTCTATTAGTTTAAAAAAAAAAGAAAGAAAGAATATAAATAGTTTTGCTTTTAAATATACAAAACATCTCTGGCAAAATACATAAATTGTTATGTTGACTCCGAGGATGGTAATTATGTATCTGAGGAACAGAAAAATTTCAAGATACAAGCTATGTGTATCTTTTCAACATTACACCAATTGAATGTATCTTTTAAATAAGTAAATAAATATATCACACATACATACAGTATATATATGTATAGCTACCGTTTGCTGGGGTCCAACTATAATAATAACATATGTCAGGCAGCTGGATACTTCATTCACATTCTAAACTAAACTAACTCACTGCAGTCCAGGCAGCTGGATACTTCATTCACATTCTAAACTAAACTAACTCACTGCAGTCCAGTGGGATCCAACTCATAGCAACCCCTCCATGGGTTTCTGAGGCAGTATCACTATGGAAGTAGATTGCCCAACCTTCCTTCCAAGGAGTGGCTGGTGAATTTGAACCACCAGCCTTCTGGTTAGCAGTCAAATGCCTTAGGCACTACAACACCAGAGCTCCTATTCACATTCTACTCCCCTTAATAATTTTATGAGGTAGATATTATTATAGCTGTTTTACAAATGAGTAAATCTGAGGCCTGTCCAAGGTCACATAACTCAATAAATACCCAACAGATAATGGTTTTTGGTAGCATGGCCCTGAAAACTACCTGTGGATTATGCTTTGTCCAAACTGAGCAAAAAAGAGGAAGAGGCTGAGAAATGGACCATCTCCTTCCCCCACATTTCTCATTTCCCATCTTTCTTATTCCAAATTTTTTTTTCATATTCCAAAATTTTAGGGGAAAATCCATTTGATATTTTAATAAATCGTTGATCTGAAAGGTTGAAAATTCAGCTCTCATTTCATTTAACATGGGAAATATTCATTTTGTCTTTACAATTTGTTATGAAATGAGTTTATAATATACCTCTGAGCAAGTTGTAGGGAAAATACAATCCACTTACTTTATGCTTAAAAGATACTGAAAGGGAAACAAGTCATATATCCATCATGATCACCCCAATTAGGGGCTGAGCAAGATCCAGGAGATTAAGTATCAACCAATAGATAACTGTTTAACATTCACAGCATGCCCCAGAGAGCAAGATGAATCATTCAGAGCACAGCACACTGACTCCTGCTTCTAAAAATGACTCTTCATCAACAGTAACCTGGCAACTTAACTTGCTCTCAGCCACAGGAGAATGAAAGACATGCCAGGAATGTGTGAAGTGGGCAAAGGGTGATTCCAGGGGCAGAGTGAGGTCATGCAAGATCTTTGCTTGTTTGGCTTCTTTTTAATGCAACTAGCAAGCTATCTGAAGTGTGTGAATCACTCCTGATCTCTCTGTTCTGCCCTGGATACAGCCAACAGCCTACAGTGTATACTAACTCTGAAGAATATCATAACCCATTTCAGGATATTCACTATATTATTACAGTAGTCTTTCCAAATTTTAAAAACATATGCTCCTTCTGATAAAGGTATATACTCCAAACCCTTTTTGTGTGTATTTTGGGTAAAAGTTTACAGAACAAATTCATTTTCCATGTAGCAGTTCATATATATTTTGTTTCATGAAATTGACTGCAATTCCCCACAATGTAACAATTCTCTTCCCACTTCCTCCTGATAGTTACCTCTTCCCAGTGTCCTTTCCTCCTATGCATTCCTGCCCTCCCCTCCACCCCTCCCCAGGTGTCTTCCTGTGCAAACACTGCCCTTCTATTTTCCCACAATTGATCTCTGCAAGTAGTATATCTACCTGATGTAAATGTTCAGGCCATATGCCCATCTACTATTGGGCTGGAAGGGACAGGAGTGAGGTCAATTCCAGACCTGAAGGGTAGCTAGAGGCCATAATCTCAGGGGTCTCACCAAGCTCTATCAGACCAGCAAACCATTTTTTTTTTTAATGATTTTGAGTTTTGTACCCCATTGTTCTCCCACCCTATCCACGATTTCCTGTACCAATTCCCCTCCAAGTGGTTGACAGTGGCAGCCAGGTACCATCTAGTTCTTCTGGTCTCATAGTCATATAAGCTAAGGATCATATGTCAAACCCTCTTTTTAAAATGCCTTTTAAAATTTCAAGATAAATTAAAGTCTGAATTAAACAAAGCAGTAAGATAATTTTTTTTTCACTTTGCACATATAATATCAGTAAGACCATTTGATGGGTATTTGCTGACAATTTTCCTATCCTAGTTAGTGTGGGAGATTGAACAAAACATAAACCCTTTAAAATGATTTGTTCATAGATGAAAGTGCAAATAAAATCACTTTGCAAAGGAGTGTTTATGAAAATGGGATAAAGTGGCTGATCACTTGTTTTGGGATTAAGATATTTATCACAAAAATTTTCTAACATAATTTTCTCAATGTTCTCCTTGGCATCAAACTCACACTTGAGTTCCAAAGAATTCTTTTACAAAGACAAAAATTTAGGAGAAAAGGGTTTCCTGTAATCTTCCAAAGGGATTTTTAACTCTAATATCAAGGAAATATTTGCACATACCAGTACATTTTCATTCAAAAGATCCTCCCCCAAAATATTTTCCAAGAACCTTGACAATGAGAATATCATAAATTCAAGAGAATTAGGAATCACTTTTAGAATCTAATTGCCATACCTACTGCCACAAATGCCCAAGTATTTCATGATACTTGGTTATCATTGGCAATGAGAGTGTTGCAACTTTTCTTAGAATTAGCTCTTTTGGTTTCAAATATGAGATCTAACTTGGGGTGGAAGTAAGAGTAGGCCTGTCAGATCAGATTAGAGAACAAAAGTAGAATTATTCAAAGGAGACAGACTTATCTTATGAACCCTAGAATCAGGACTAGAACTTGAAACTGGTCATCTGGAACTCTCTGGGAACACATGACT